TATATATATATATATATATATGTATATATATATATATATATATATATATGTATATATATATATATATATATATATATATATATATATGTTCTATATATATATATATATATGTTCTATATATATATATATATATATATATATATATATATATATATATATATATATATATATATATATATGTTCTATATATATATATATATATATATATATATATACATATATATATATATTTATATATATATATATATATATATATACATATATATATATATATATATATATATATATATATATATATATATATATATATATATATATATATATATATATATATATTATATATTATATTGTATATTATATATTATATTATATATTATATATATATATATATATATATATTATGTATATATATATATATAAATATATATATATATATATATATATATATATATATATATATATATATATACATATATATATAAATGTATATATATATATATATATATATATATATATATATATATATATATATATATATATATATATATATATATATATATATATATATATATAAATATATATATATATATATATATATAACTATGTATATCCTTGGAGTTGCTGCAGTGTAATAGTGTGTTGGGGGAAAAAAATTTATAAACCTGCGTTAATAACCCGTTTTCTATTGTACATAACGCGTTAATAAATTTTATTACCCGTTTTGTTCAATGTTTTCTCCCAACGCATGCCTTAGGACGCTGTCTGCGAAGTTATGTTGTTTGTTTCTAAATTTTTTTTTCTTTATTAGAAACAGAATAAATTTTAACTTTTTGTATAAAGTTTTTGCTAATATGGTTGCAGGTTTTTCTTAACTTTTATCAAATAAACTTAAGAAACCTGTATTACTTTTGATGATGGCAATTAATTTTGTTTTGCATTAGTTTCTTTATATATTTGTTTTGAGAATTTTTTCTTTTAATTTTTTGAGTAAGTTTTTTTATTTTATTGTTAACTTTAGAGCAGTAAAAAAAAGAAATAATTAGTGTTGCTTTGATAAATATGTTTAATCAAAATGATGACATTGAAATGAATGATAGGCTAGATGAAGTTATGTATTTACAAAATGATGTAAGTGCTATAAGGCATGTTGAAAATAGTCGTAGACGAAATGAAAGAAATAGACTTAGGCGAGATGAAATTAATCATTTACAAAATGAAAGAAATAGCTTAATCGGGAAAACATTATTCGTCGCCAAAACGATAGAAATAGGCTCGATCGAGATAATGTTAATCGTCGCCAAAATGAAAGAAATAGGCTCGATCGAGATAATGTTAATCGTCACCAAAATGAAAGAAATAGGCTCGATTGAGATAATGTTAATCGTCGCCAAAATGAAAGTAGAGCTGTTGGACAAGGACGAATGTATTCTATAGCGAGAAGTAATGCTATTCCAGATTATAATTATTTAGGAGAAATAAATCAAATTTGTCAGCACTGTGGTGCTAAGAAATTTCCAGATGAAACACATTTTCAATGTTGCCATAATGGTAAGGTAGCTTTGCATCCACTTTCACCAATTACACAAGCTTTACAGGATTTGTTTACAGGGAGTTATGTAGATCGTAATGCTAATGCTAATTTTTTAAAACATATTCGAAATTATAATGCCTGCCTTTCTTTTGCTTCTTTTACAGCAAATGTAGTTCAACCATTGAATCATGGGCTTCCATGTTTTAAAATATGTGGCCAGTTTTTTCATCGTGTAGGTAATCTTAGGCCAGATCAAGATATTTAACCAATATATTCTCAACTATATATTTATGATCCACTTGCTGCACTAAATTTAAGAATGCAACACTGTGTCTGGTGCGTTTTTAGAATGCAAGTGTCTGGTGGAAGTATAGCTGGTAGGGCTGTGTTTTATATTTTATATGTTTTGTATGGAGAAATTGTGCAATAGGTGGAAAAATTAATTAATAAATATGACACTTTTGAACGGGTTTCATTATTGCCCTATATATTTATTAAAATAGAAAATGTTGCATGTTTAACCTTTTTTAATTTGCTCTCTTTTTTTTTTTTTAGCATCTTCTGTTTCGAATGAAAATGGTGAGGTTATGCTAATTTTTTTTTAAATAATTGCAAATGTATAATTTTTATTATATTCTTCTATTTGTAACTTTAGATTCCTTTTCATTCGAAGATTATAAAACTTACCGCTCCCAACACACGGGACCTTTCTCAGAGAGGTCCTTCACTAAATGGAAAGATAATGGCGGAATGGATGAGCCCTCCTTTAAATGGAGGGGTTATCCATACCGGGGTGTTGGGAGACACCGAAGAAAAAACAGCAACAAAAAAGTTGTAAATGTCTTCTATCAGTAGAGATATTTATGACTTTTTGGTTGCTGCTTTTTCTTCGGTGTTTTTTTTTTTTTTAATTTTGTAATTAATTTTAATTGTGTAATTTTTTTAAAAATATATATTATGTTGTATATTTGATTTGTTTTGACCTTTTTTAATGAAAATTTTAGTTGTTTTCTCACCAATTAAACCTGACTTCAAATTTAAAGCCCTCTTAAATACCCCTCCCTAAAATCTAAAGTCAAAAGTTGAATTGATTCATTATCCAATTATGATAATATAATAATCCTGCATTCTTTTGTTAATAACAATTATTTGGTATGTTTCATTTATTGAACTCACTGCTTTTAAAATTTACCAAAACCCAAGGCAATATATTTAGCTATATAAATACAATTTATTTATCTCGATTCAATTCTTCATCTTTTATGTTTATAGTTTGGCTCCTTGAAGCATTTTATTTTTTGCTTTTTTTATTATGAGTATTTTAAATCCGTTGTGATGTCTTTTAAATTAAACTAAAGTTTACTAAAAGCCAACATAAAAATTACGTTTTTGAACAACACCAAAAAGAATAGCTGCATCCCTACAGCAACTGCTGTAGTATCACAATAGGTTACCAAAAGCAGGTATACTGTTTTCCAGTTGTTGTTTTTTTTTATATATATTCACTTATCTATATAATACTGTAGTACGATTGTTTATGTCTCGTTCATTTTTTTTTTCTTTATCTTTAAGTGTTAATAATTTTATTCTTTGAACGAGATTAGTTAAACAAATCGGTTTTCCATTAAAGATATTGGTTTCAAAATTGAACACCATTGGCAAAATGCTTACAAAATTAGGTAGTTTTTAAAAATTTGTTTTCTATTTAATACACTTTTTTTTAAATGTACTTTTTAAATATACTTTTTAAATATACTTTTTTAATATACTTTTTTATAACAATCCTACTAATATGGAATCACTTAGCTTTTTAAATATGTTAAATTGTCGTCCCTATCGGTAATAAATATTTTAAATTATTTGATATGGTTTTCTTTACAATAGGCTATGCTTGGCTCCTCGGTGCTGTAAATGGTGGCTTCAACTTTGTTTTTTTAAGAAAAATGTGTTTTATATATGCTTCTGTTTTAAAATATTTTTGTTACATATTTAACTATATATCATGTAAATAAATTTCTTTCAAAGATATGTAAACTTGATTGAAAAAGTGAACAAAGGTTTAAATATATTTTTAACTGTCTTATATGATTTTATCAATTTTATTAAAGCTGAATAATTACTTCAAAAATATTGAGTAAAACCCAATTGCTTTTATTATTAACCAGATCTATACAAAAATTAATGAAATAAAACTAATAATTTAACGCCAAGTTAAGGCAAAATGTATTCCGGACATTTTATAAAATTAGTATAAATATGGATTGGATGTATGCTGAAATAAATATGTTGATACACGTTAGCTATTAAAGTAAATCCATATATTCTTTTGTTTTTTTATAAACAAGTTTCTGCTGGGTTACTAATTAAAAAAAAGGTTGGTTTAATAATAATCTTTAACATCATAATATAGGATCCGTATGCAGGGCTAAGCCCTTTTCGAAATTGCGATATATTTTTCAACTTACAGTTTTTCCGGATATCCAACTTCTATGTTTACAAGTTTGGGTGTAATATTTTAGATGTTTTAAAAATATTTATAAAGTATGTTAATAACGTTGAAAAGTTCATGTGCGATAGTGACATTTTTACGCTCTTAAATCAGTAAAATAAAAAGTTAAAAAAAAAAAAGAAACGACTCAGCTCAAAGCAAAATTAAGAGTATAATATATTCCTAATATTTACCTAAACAATCTTACGGAATTTGAAAATTTGACATCGATGTTCTATGCACATAATTCAAGTCAATTTTAACTACTATATGGTTGTGATTTGCGCATTCAATGTCTGAACATTGCAAAAGAAATGGTTAACTTTATCTTTAATGAAGCTAAGAGTTCTCTTAAACTAAGAAGCCAAGAAAAATAAAAGTGTGCTCAACTAAAAAAATGTATAAATAAATTTATATTTCATTAGAGAAAGTAAATAAAGATCAAATTGTTAATAATGATTTATTTACTACTAACCCGTATTACGGATTGCTTTCTGTATAAATAAATTTATATTTTATTAGAGAAAGTAAATAAATACTAAATAGTTAGTAATGATTTATTTACTACTAACCCGTATTACGGGTTGCTTACTGCTAGTACATTTATTAATGTTAGAATATGATTGTTTTATATTTTAATGGTGAAAAAATCAAAATTTTACATGATATTTTTATTAGAAAATTTTATAAGGATTTTTTGAAAAAATAATGACAAAATTGATAGTTTTTCGTATCTTCAAATGTTATAACTTTTCCAATTCTTATCAAAATATATACAATTTGGTATAAAAACAAAGATATGAAAAAGACAAGGCACCTACAACACCCAGTAATATGTTACGAATGTATATTTGTTAATGAAAGTTTTGTGTTTTTTATTGAAATTTTGGATTTTTATTTGCAATTTTTTATATTCAAACAGACGATGATTAAATATGATAGATAAACAAGTAGAAAAGAATATAGTAATACATAATAATCTCCTCATATGTAATACTTTCCTTAAACGTAAATCAAATTGTTTAAACCGGATATGATGATTAAATGTTGTATCGGCATGGTTTTATCTGACTACTTTGCTTTTTTAATTTGGTTGCCAGCTTCAACCTAATTCTTGATTTAGAACTATGATTTTGAACTAAAACATTTCCGTGTTGAATAAAATACTATTTATTCTTAACTGTAATTTTTTTGAGGCTTCAGTTATCAAATGTTGGTGGTAATTTTAGTTATGCCACTGTGAAAGCGTCGATTGTTAAGTATGTGTTTACTTTTTGTATTTTGCTTTGCAATGCAAATAATTTTTAATAATAATAACTTAATTATTAACTTATAAGTTTTGTTTTGTGAAATTATTTATTATGGCTATTGTTTATCTGTATACATTACACTATAGAGTATATGTAAATGCATGTGCAATAGCATAGGTTGTATTTTTTTATGTATTCACAATAGACATTTTCAAGCACATTGTCCAATCTGCAAACTTAATTATTTTTATCCTTATGTCGAATGACAACGTTTTGCCCTTTCCCATCCCTGAATGTGAGGGAAATGAGTTCTGTAAATAAAATTATTTTATTTAATATCAAATTAAATTTCATCAACAGGTTTGTAACTTTATTAGTATATTAGCTTTCAAAAGTTTTGACCATATAAAGATTAGTTTCCCTCCTTAAATAAGGAGGTTGCAAATTGTACATCATCATAACTTTTGAATGCTAATATGAACTCATTTTCCTCATATTCAGATATAGGAGAGCAAAATTTTTTGGGTATTTTAGTTTTTAAGCACCTATGTATTATTTATAAAAAATAATAGATTATAATTTATTTTTTTCATTGTCATTCCAGGTAGACATAAAAAGTTTGAAGTATGTACAAAGCCTGAAAGTGTCAAATATGGAACCTAAAAAAACCTGCCTTTGCCACTGACTGTATAAAGGTTTTTTAAGGTAAGAGCTTAAATAAATTAACAGAAAAAAAATATTATAAGTTATACATTTTTATGCTAAAATAGAAAAAAAATATATATTTTTAGTTTCAGTTTTTACTGTCACAAATATTAAATATTTGTGATACAGAATACAGATATTGATGTCTGTCTTCTTTAATGTTGTTAATGGTTTATCTACTGTTTTCTTTTTGTGCATGACCTAATTTCTTTTCATATCCATATTTTTTTAGGTCTGTTTGTCAAGCGCAAGTCAGGTTATCTTGCTACTGGTACCATAAAGTACATCCTGCTTAAGCAGGTTGTACGCCATCCATACGACGTTTGGGCATTTGTTTGTAAAATATTGCTACAAATCTTTTTGAGAGAGCCATTACTATGGAGAACCATCTAAACCATACAAGTGTGGAAACATGGATGTAAATCTTAAACACATTTGTGATATATAATTGTAGAATGTTATATGTTATAAGTTTGGAAATTATATCCTGCTAAAAAAAATTTTTAAATGTATTTTAGCAGAACATACCTGGCCCGCATTTGATCCTGAAAAACGTTCTTTTTGGGCCAAATGCTGGCTGGGTAATTTGGACTTGTAAATGAACTTATATTCATAATTTTTAAACTGCTTATGATTTGATCTGATTTTATTTTTCTCATTTGTTTATTTAGATTAATGTGAAATAAACTGATGAATTTATTTAACTTAGCTGGTAAAAAAAAGAGTTTTCGTGAAACAAATTTAATAAAGACAATTACAGGTATACCTGTTAATGTAATATATTTTGTATTGTATTTTTTATGCTTAGTTTTGACGAATTTTTAAAAACTGCAAACTCACACTCGCACAAAAATCAACTGTGAACTCTTATTTAATCAGTTGCAAAAGTTGACTTTGAAAATTTTGTATAAGATATTATAGCTTATTTATTAGACTGTGTTTTTAGAATGAAGTTCATTTATTTGCTGGCAAAATTTTTAAACGTGGTCAAGATCGAAAAAATTTGGTGCTAGAAATTGTTGATAGTGGAAGTGATAGATGCATCGAACCTAATTTGTAATTAATTTTTGTAAATAAATTTCACTCTACTAATTTTTGTGTTGAATTCTTGTTTTTCTAATGGTATTTAAAATTAATAAGTCTAAATTAACGTATAAAAAAATACGCACCAAATAAGACCTATTTATGGCATTCCATACCTAATGTTTTTCATTATTTCTAAACTGTAACTTAAACTTCTTAACTTAACTGTAACTTAAATTTCTTAGTCCTATCGGGACGCATATTTTGAAGCCCTATACAGGCTCAGAATAGGCAGAGATATGCGCAATCTGATTCGCCAATTTTGAAAGAGAGGCTTTTGCGCCTAAGTTTAAATCAAAACAAATGTCAAAAAATGTATTGAATAATAAAAGTGAAATAGAGTAATTGCCAAATAATAATGACAAAAAAAAAAGTTTTTTTTATCCATTTTTGTACAATTTAGTATATTTATTTTCTTAAAAATAAAGATTTAAAAAAATTAGTTTGTTTTCTTTATTTTTTTATTACTCTAAAATATAAAAATAACAACGATTGTAACAAACTATAAACCAGATGGTAAAACTTTACTATGCTTTTATTGATATTACTTGGTAAAATTTTAAAACTAATACTTTTAAAATTTTACCAAGTAATATCTATAAAATATTATTAACTTAGTATAAGTTTTTCAAATTAAGTTCCTATTAATCCTATCCTTTAGCAAGAAAAATATTTTTTTAAAAATACTTTATTTTTTTCAGAATTTTTACACTTATTAATCCCATTTATAAATTGTATACACCACTAAAACATTTTAAGTTTGAGAATATTGCTTAATGGTTGTTGTAGCTAGCCCAGATAATTTACATCACTCTCAAATTAATAGCAATTGTAAACAAGAGTTGATTTAGATTGGCATTGGTAATGTATAGTAATAAAAGATTACTAAGCATTGTAGCATAATAAGCTATAAGAAAAAAATTATAACCTGATGTCCACAAGTTGTTTTGACATAGTAAACTGATTACAAAAATGAACAACTCTTAACTTACCACACCTTTATACAGAGCTAAGTGTAAAAAGGTAAAAACAAGAAAAATTGCAAAAATACAAGTTCATGTTGTTGTTTATTTCAATTTTAAAAGACAATACATATAAAGCACATGTTTGTTGATATATAGCTTTTAACCTGAACAAAATATTGGTTATTGAATTCTATAATTGGTAAAAAACGTATACTCTAAAATAACAACTGATGGTAAATAAAATTAAATAAAGCAACAAAATTTGATAATTTTTTTATTTATTATGCTATTAATTTATTTTGCATTACATACTCCTGAAGAAAAAAAAAATCTTCTCTAAAAAAAAGAAAAAAATAACTTTTTTTTCATTTTTCTAGGCAGAAATATTTATCTTTCATGTTTCCAAATCTTATTAATAGTTTTATTATGTAATCTTTGAAATAATCAATAAAATCAAGTGTGCTTTTTTTGAATTTCTGTGAATACCTCTTGTATAATAATTTAAAAATAGAGATGTGTTATGTTTTATCTTGAAGTAATATTATTATTTTTTTCTGAAAGCTTGCTTCTTCAAATGTAAAAGCTTGTTTTGATAAGTTCTCTTTATTACAATAATTGCTATAATTCACCTTAATTTGGTTAAATTTTTTAACTTCAATTCTCTTTGTTAGCTTGTATTATCAACGCTTAAATGTAACTGAACAAAAAAACTGTTCAGTAGAAAAACAAATATCACTTTTTTTTTGTTAAATTTTCCAATAGATTATTAATATACAAATTTCATCCTTTTTATATATATATATAAGTTAAAACACACTGCCAAACTTTCTTTAATTATTCACAAAGTGTTTGAAGGTTCAAGGATGATGTTTTATTAATGTTAAGTAAAGAAAAATATTGATGTACATCTTACCAGCCTTCTCAATATTTAGGTTAAACAATAACTTCTTCAGAGTTCGTAGATTTACATGGAACATGTAAGCTAGTTTGGTAAAATATCTGTATTTTTTTTTTTTTAATCTAAATGTTTAACTATTTACAATTAACAAGACAGTGTAAAGATGCAGTAATGAGCATAGAACAACCTCTGCCTCAGCTGAAAATTTATACTTTGCATGCTTTAAGTACGTTTCTAATAGTCTGGTGTAACTGTATATAAACTTTGTATTGACTATGCTTTATAGAACATAGACATTACATTTGACGAAAAACACACTTAGAAATCTTGCAAAATTGCACACATGCAAATTTAAGTTTAATATTTTAATAGTTTATACATACAAAACATATTTTATTATAACAAAAATAATAATAGCATGACAATTGAATTTGTTCTTTTTTTTATTTGGTTAACATATATTACTGTTACTGTTTTTTTTATTTGGTTAACATATTTTACTGTTACTGTTCCTAAGTGCTCCAAAAACTCTTATTCGTCTAGTTTTTTTCCTCAAACATCAGTTCTTTGGAATTCGCTTCCTTCATCTTGCTTTCCTGATTCATATAATTTGCAATCTTTTAAGTTGTCTGTCAATCGTTATCTTGCTCTACAATCTTCATTTTTTCTCCTCCAGTAACTTCCAACACTAATTAGTGGTTGCTTGCAGCCTTGTTGGAAGCGAAGAAGTTTAAAAAAAATATATATATAATTGACTTCAATACTTTTTCTAGCTTTTAATTTCATTGTTTATATGTAACTGCTCAAAAAATTACTGTTCAGTAGACAAACATATAAATTTCACTTCTGTTGTTAAATTTTCAAACAATATTTTATACATACAGTTAATATAGCCTGCCAAAATTTTTCTAAATTTTGAAAAAGTGTTTAATGGTTTAAGATAATGTTTTATTAGAGTTATGCAATAAAAAATAAATCAGTCTCCTCCAAACAATAGTTGAAACAAAACATGAAAACAAAACCTCTTTAAAGCTTATATATTGACATGGAACATGTAAACTAGTTTTGCAATCAGTACAAATTTTCGTTATTTAAAAACTCTCATGTTCAACTCTTTAAATTAATATATAAATCAATTTATAAATAAAGTTCTTCATCAGTAGTCTGGTAAAACTGCATATAATCTTTATATGCAAAAGTACTTCACAAGTAGTCTTGTACAACTGTGTATAAACTTTGTATTTGAGTATGCTTTAAGGCCAAGAACATATTTTGCGAGAAATAAATTTATAGATCTGTAGTGTAGTTAATTAAATAGTCTATAGTTAATTCTAAGCCAACATAGAAGGTTTTATTCTTCATATAATAATATGTAAACTAAAATATACAAACAGGTTAGTTTTAGTATACACATAACTAAACTCAACAAGAATGATAATAATTATAAAAATCAGCACAAGATCTTTTCGAATTACACTTTTTTCTACTTCTTTAAATTAACAACAGATAAAACCTCCATCACCAAGATGAACTTTATTGAAACTTGAGATTTTTAGGAGTGAAAATTCTCTGTTACAAATAGATTTTGATACCTTTTAAATATTCTAAAGAATAATAAAATAAAATTTCTATGTTGATAGTTACACAAGACTTGTATTGATAAACTTAGTTTATCATTACTATGAAATTTATTTCAAAATCTGTTTAGGTTTTAAATTTTTTTTTAAATAAAACGCACTTGCCTCTCTTTCAAAATCAGCGAATCAGATTGCTCATATTTCTGCCTATTCTGAGCCTGTATAGGGTTTCAAAATATGCTATCGGGACGTCTTTTTTATGTTCCTCGTAAGGCGTCTTTTTTACGTTCCTCTCAGGACGTCTTTTTCAAGTTCCTTCTAGGTCGTCTTTAAAACGTTCCACGCAGGACGTCTTTCTGTATTTCCAAATCCAACCAATTTAAGACGTCCGATCGGGACGTCTTAAAGACGTCCTAAAGCCGTCCGCGTGCCCACTGGGATGTTAATATATTTTTATAAACTTATAATTTACAAAATATAGTTTCAAAAAGTAAATATCTATCATCAGTACCCGTTGTTTTCTGTTCAACTAATTTTGTATGCTGTAAAAATGCACAATTTTGTGAATGCTGTCATCTCATAAGCATGTGCAAAAAGGGTAAAAGATTTAAAGTGATTTTTTTCGCTCGAGCGTTGTAACTAGATTTCAATATTTATATATTTCTAATCTGTGGACCATGTAGATTCACCCAGGACAGGAGGCGTTCTTGGGTCAAGCCGAAGTAA